GAGGAGGAGGAGGAGGATCTTGCTGTGGATCTCGCTGATACCGGGCCCACCCCCGGGGAGGGGCTGGTGCCCCGGGGGTGGGGGAAGAACCCCACCTGACTGGGCGAGCTCCGCCCTCGGGCCTTCGGTGCGCCACCGTGGTGGGGCCGGGCCCAGGCCCCCGTCCGGCCACGCGGGGGGGGAGGACGGGGGAGAGGGCCCGAGGAAGGAAGGGTGGATGGGGAGCCCGCAGAGGACAGAGTGGTGCGAAGGAAGGGTGGCCAGCCTGGGCGCCCCATGCTCGCAGGAGAGGTCGCTTGCGGGGGGTCAAAGGCAGCCCGGAATTTCAGCCAAGACGCGGCCCAAGTTGGCTGAAAAAACCGGGGTGTAGCCACCCCGCCCGAGGCCCGCTCGAGTTTCAGCCCACACGAGCCACGAATTGGCTGAAATGTTTCGCGCGGTCAGCCCACCCGGGCCATACCCAGTGACGGGTCCCCCCCTCCCCCAACGCAAGCGTGCATCGCGACTCCCCTGCATCCCCGCCGCGCCTGCCGTCGCTGGCGCAACGCGCCCACCTGCGCGAGCGTGGCCGGAGGAGGAGGAGGAGGAGGAGGAGGAGGAGGAGGAGGAGGAGGAGGAGGAGGAGGAGGAGGAGGAGGAGGAGGAGGAAAAGGAGGAGGAGGAGGAAAAGGAGCTGGCTACTCGTGGCAAGCCTTCTTACCGTGTGTGTCTCTGCTGCATTCTCCGCCCTGTGGGGGCAGGTCTTCACGGTCGCCGGCGCGGCCGTCGGGCCGCTGAGCGCGGCGCTGGTGGCGGAGCGCCGCTCACAGGAGGCCGAGGACGAGCAGGCCCGCGCCCGAGCCTGGGAGAGGAGGGGGGAGGAGGCTGAGGGGTTCCAAATGCGTTTTGCTTTCTTAGCAGAGGGCCAGACGTGCCACCCTCGGCCGCACCCCCATTCCGCGCGAGACGGAAGGCCTCGTGCCAGTGGTTGGCGCCGAGATGTGGCGCCAGCGCGCGGTGTGTGGGTGCAGGGGCGTAGACCTGTTGCGCAGCCCACGCACGAGGAGGAGGAGGGTGAGGAGAATGAGGATGATTCGCTTGGATTCGCCTGCCTGATCCCCTTAGCTGTGTGTATGCCTGCAGAGGTGAGGATGAAGAGCCCACCCATCCCCCAGGTCTTTCCTTGGTGTCATGGGGCGGCCTCATGAACTTGTAGCCCTGAAAGCTGAGAGCGTTTGATTCCAGCTCTCCCCCGCAGGTTGTAGCTGGTAGCATTTGTGTCCAGCTTCGCCCTCTTCCACCCTGGTCCCCTCGTATGGGGGTCATGGGGCGGGCCTGGCTCTGCTTCGCGCATCTCCACCCTGGTCCCCGCCTTTCGGCAGGGGTCGTGGGGCGGACCTGGCTCGGCTTCCTGCCCAGCTCTTCCTCACACCTCTCGCAATGACCGCGTGCACTGCCACTGCCTTCCCCCTCGCATGAACTCCTCCCAGCATTTGAGCTGATATGTCGCTCACTGCCGCCCTTGACACATGAAATGCTCCCAGTATTGTCAGAGTGAGGGGGCCGAACGGTCATTCATTGTCCCTGCGTGCGTGGTTGAACAAGGAGTTCGTGTTGAGAATTCTGCTTGTTGCGTTGTAGTTGTAGTTGTAATTGTTGTTGATGTTGTTGTTGTTGGTGCTGCTGTTGTTGTTGTTGTTGTTGTTGTTGTTGTTGTTGTTATTGTTGTTGTTGTTGTTGTTATTGTTGTTGTTGTTGATGTTATTGTTGGTGTTGTTGTTGTTGTTGTTGGTGTTGTTGTTGGTGTTGGAGCTGCTTTTGTTGTGGTTGTTGTTGTTGTTGTTGTTGTTGTTGTTGTTGTTGGTGGTGGTGGTGGTGGTGGTGGTGGTGGTGGTGGTGGTGGTGTTGTTGTTGTTGTTGTTGTTGTTGTTGTTGTTGTTGTTGTTGGTGGTGGTGGTGGTGGTGGTGGTGGTGGTGTTGTTGCTGCTGCTGTTATTGTTGCTGCTGTTGTTGTTTGTTGTCGTCGTCCCACCCGCGACCCACCCGCGACCCATCCGCGACCCACCCCGCGACCAACCCGCGACCCACCCCGCGACCCACCCGCGACCCACCCGCGACCCACCCGGCGACCCACCCGCGACCCACCCCGCGACCCATCCGCAACCCATTTGCGACCCACCCGCAACCCACCCCGCGACCCACCCGCGACCCACCCCGCGACCCACCCTCAAGGGAGGAAAAAACACCCGGACCCGACAATTGAGGTTTACTCAACGGCCCTGGTCGTTGAGTAAACAGCCCTGCCCTGTTCGATTCATTCCTTGTGTGTTTACCAAGCGGCTGCGCTTGTCGGGGTGATTATTATGGGGTGGATTTTCTGCCCTCTACACCCGCGACCCAACAGCGACCCACCCGCGACCCATTTGCGACCCACCCGCGACCTACCCACATTGGTTTAACGAAAAAATCGGTGTCTGCGGCGGGCTCATTGAATAATTTGTGAAACCTTGGCGCCAGCGGCGGGCTTCTCCAGAGTCTCGCAAACTGCCGACGTCCCCACCGCCCCCTCACTCTTATCCGCATCTGCTGGGTGCTGCGTAGCTGATATGTCCCTCACTGCCTGCCTTCGCCAATGAACTACTCCCAGCGTTGTAGCTGGTGTGTCGCTCACTGCCTGCCTTCTCGCACGATCTACTCCCAGCGTTGTAGCTCATATGTCGCTCAGTTCCTACCTTTCGCATGAGCTACTCCCAGCGATGTAGCTGACATGTCGCTCACTGCCTGCCCTCTCGCGTGGTCCACCCCCAGTGTTGTAGCTGATATGCCGTCCACGTCCTGCCACGCTGAGTAGCGACAGAGATTGCTGCCACTGCTCGGCCTCCTCGCACGCACGAACTGGTCCCAGCCCTGCAGCTGACTGGAGCTCGAGCTGCCGCCCACAGCTTCTCTTCGCATGAGCTACTCTTAGCCTTGTAGCTGATCCTTCGCTAACTGCCGACCTTCTCGCATGAGCAACTCTCGAAGTTGTACCTGACATGTCGCACACTGCTTGCCTGGAGCTTGAGCTTCGCCTCCATCTCATCCTCGCACGCACGACCCCCAGCGTTGCAGTTGATCTTGTCTGCTCACCAACCCTTCTTCCGCACGAGTGGACCCCAGGGCTGTAGCTGATCTGCTCGCGCTCGGCAGCGCTGATCCCAGCGCTGTAGCTGAAGATGGTGATCACCAGCGTCTTCTTGCACACTGCCTGCGACCTTCGGCTAAGCATCGGGAGGTGACAGAGGAGGGCAGGCCGAGAGGGACAAGGGAATGGACGGCTCAGCGTCTTGAAGGCTCTTTGGCTGCTGGGGCCGCGCACGGCCCACAGACGATACGGGTGCATGGCTCCCAGCGCCATCTGCCACCCTCAAGTTTGGCCCATTGGAACACCCTGACCCCTGCGCACAGTCCCCTGGGTGGAAACTGTCTGGGAGGAGGAGGAGGAGGAGAAACAGGAGGAGGAGGAGGAGGAGGTGGAGGAGGAGGAGGAGGAAGCCGTTGCCCGCTCGGGGTGGGGCCCGCGCTGAAACCCACGGCGGGCGGCGGCAGCGCGGCGCCGCCATAGGGGTCGCGCGGGGGGGAGGACCCCACCTTACCTCCCGCAACGGCGGCGGCCTCTCCGGGCGGGCGCCCGTGCCAGGCAGGCAGGCGCCGACGGCCAAGCTGCCTGAGCCAGCTTGGCATCAACGTGAACGGCGGCATCGTGCCTCAGCCTGCGTCCTCCTCTGAGTGGTAGCATTTCAGAATTTACTCAAGTAGCACCACATCAATGGGCGACCGACTACGATGGCGTGCGAGCAAGTGCAGAAGCAGCAGATGCACCTGCGGCAGCAAGGCATTCCTGGCATATGGGTGTGCGTGCGATGTCGTATTTGCAGTCTGGCGGTGACTGGGCGTTCATAGATTCTGGGTGCAAGCAATCTTACCGCAGGAGCCAGCATGTGTTGACGGAGCAACGTCGGCAGTACCAGAACTCGGCCTAGCTGGCACAAGAAAGGAACAACTTGATTGACGAACGCATGATATGCTCTTTTGATTATGCAGTACAGCACCCATCGTACATCTAGCCTTCAGGTGTTTCTGGCCAGGTGCGCTATTCCAACAACATGACGGACAACAGCATCGAGACTCTGGCACACCGTCTTGTTCAAGGACGAAAAGTTGAACTACCTTGAGCAAGCAGGAGCACGAGCTGTCAGTCGATGGTGTGGCAGGCGAAGCCTCTGTCGGTGCAGCGTCGCGAAACACAGGACAGCATTCATATGACTTTGGGTCGTTTCGCGTTGAAGAAACACTATGTGGTGGAGTTGGACTGTATCTACGGGAGGATTATGTTGGATTACTATCACGATTTACTCCACGAGGTTGCCGGGACGAGCCACGACCAGGGTTCTTGTCCAATCAACGGGCACGATAGGCGCAAAACACTTCATGTCCGTGTCAATGGTGGTTCGGATCTAGGCGATGGGTCTTCCGTGCCCGATCCCAGGCAAGGAGGGCCTCCTAGGCCTCATCGTGAGCGTGATGAACGTAAGGGGAGAAATCATCGCACCCCGTACCCCGATCGTTGACGGCACGTACCTGCAGTGCCAGGCATCTCTCCAGAAGGCAGGTGCGGAACTCGGGGGTGTTCGAGGAGCGGTATCGCAGCTAGGCAGGAAGAGCTCGAAGGCCCAGTCATCGGCAGCTGCGGCGGCAGCGGCCTCATCGCATAAAATCCTGAGCTCGCCGTCCACGGTAGCCTCTAGCCCTGCTCCGACTCCGAGGGCTGGGTCACCAGGCGCGCCTGCCACCGTGGCGAAGGCGGCAGCTTTGGCGCGGGCCGAGCAGCCGCCACCAGGAGCGGCGGCATCTGCTACTGGGCTTGTGTCAGTCAGGATGGAGGTGGGTTGGCACGACCAGAGCGATGTGCAGCAGGTTCATCAGGACAAGGCGGCGGCGATCAAATTGGCCTCGTTTAGGAAGGAGGCCCGCGCAGCAGTCGCTACGCGATCAACAAGTGGCCAGGCTTCGACAGGAGCTTGAAGCGTCTCGGAGGAGGAGCTCATGGATGGAAGGGGAGCAGATGGAAGCACTCCGGCGCCAGGGAAGTCAGGAAATGCAGCAGCAACAGGAGGCGTGCGAGTGGGAGCTCGAGATGAAAAAGGCTACGCTCGACGGGTCATCAGGCTGAGATGGCGACGGAGCTCAAGAAGGCAGACAGGAGGCGGGCGCAGGTTGGCGAGTTTTTGCTCGAACGCCAGGCGGAGGCGGGCGAGCCGCTGAAGGTGGTGCAATCCCTTTGAGAGATTCAAGCGACGCAACGGATGGCTGGCCCAGCCAGATCCAGAAAGGAGCTCGACGATGCACGCGCGGCGGCGCGGGGGGCGCCAGCAGCTGGGATCCGCGAAAAAAACTGGGCACAGAAGACACCTTGATTTTGAAGATCGGCGAGCGCGAGCACCGACGCAAGGAGTTGAAGGAGATGAGGGTGAAAGCGTCGGAGCTTTGTTTTAGCCGACAAATTCAAGGACGGCGGCGGATATGCTACAGCTGGTCCTGCGCCGAGAGTTTGCGAAATGATCGATGCTCGAGATGTCGTGCAGCCGGGCCCTGGTCACCCCCGGCCCGCGCAATCCTGCGGGGGTCGGCTTGCTTGCTGTCTCGCCGCGCCTCATCTGCGGCGGCGTCGGCGCGGCGCGCCGAGGGCGAGAGGGTGGGTCGACGTGGGGATCCAATGGGGATTGCGCAGCTAGGGGAGATTGGGGGGGGGGGCGCAGGCGCAACAGTAGTTTCTCGCCCTAATCGGGATTGAATTGCCATCGATCAG